ACCCCCCCCCCCCCCATGAAAAATCAAATGGTCCGTCCCTAAGTTCATGTATATATAGGTGATCGGGTGTGCGGGTTGTGATAAGGTGGACTTCAATGATCTGATTTTTTGCACTTCACTTGGTGGTATTAATATTCGAATGCTGTTCTTAAGGTTTGTAATCCAAGTGAGTATATATAAATTTTAAGACCTGACCAGGAACGACTGCGAAAAATGCAGCACAAGGTCCTCTGGTAGGAATTGAACCTACGGCCCTGCGATTCCGGTGCAGCGCTCTATGTAACCGTAAGTTCATGTATATATAGGTGATCGGGTGTGCGGGTTGTGATAAGGTGGACTTCAATGATCTGATTTTTTGCAGTGCTAACCGGACGATATATGAGGCGGGATGATTTTGATGTATTTAAATAAGTGCGCCGGAATCGCAGGGCCGTAGGTTCAATTCCTACCAGAGGACCTTGTGCTGCATTTTTCGCAGTCGTTCCTGGTTAGGTCTTAAAATGTATATATATACTCACTTGGATTACAAACCCTAGGAACAGCATTCAAATATTAATACCACCAAGTGAAGTGCAAAAAATCAGATCAATAATGGAAGTCCTGTTTCTAAAACAGTGACAACAATGTCTGCCATTTCTACTGTACCTGCCATTTCACCATCATGTTGCTCTGAAGGCGAAGGCAAGTGAGCTTTTTGCTTAATTACATTGGGATGTATTGTAGGAAGTTATTCTTTATCTGTTGGCAGTGTTGCGTTAATTAAGTTGTCTTATCATTTTGAGTTGGTTACTAGGTACTATTTAAAACACGAGTAGGGGTGTTTTATCAGGTATAAAACGCGAGGCGCAGCCGAGCGTTTATGTCCGATAAAACACGACAACGAGTGTTTTGAGTTAAAATACGACTACAAAAGAATACTAATTAGGATGAACCATTATATAATCATACTAATGAGGATGAACAATTATAATGCCACATGCTTTATCAGATATAAAGTCACTCCACGTGACATATAATGAGTATTTTAAATAAAATAACTATAATATTTTCTTATCTTTATTCAAACAGGCAGCAGAATCATTATCATAGCGGCAACAGCAGGTGGTGTCGTATTTCTTTGCATCGTGCTTATTGTATTATTGATAAAATACAAGCGCGGCCGGAAGCAAGCTCCAAAATTATCTCCTGTCAATATTCCACTGACAGTCGAAACTCCACAAGAATCATTGCCAATTGATCAGGTAAATTATTTACGAATGTTTAGTTTAGAACTGATAGATCGAGCCGCCCAGTATAAATAAAGTCAGTTTAGTTTAGGTTTCCTCCTGTTACAACACTGGATCAATAAGAGCTGATCCTTACTGGACCTCTAGGAAGGATAGTTTAGAACTGATAGAGCCTTTCAGTATAAATAAAGTTGGTTTAGTTTAGTTTTCCTCCTGTAGTATCATTAGACAAATAAGTGCTGGGCTTCTATGGAACTCTCGGAGAACAGTTAAAAACTAATAGAGCCACCGAACAGTCGAACACTATTCCTAGCCTTTAGGCCTTAGTTTTTAAGCTTCGATGAATTGAGCAAACGCCACACATGTAATCGACATTAAAAAGTCATCATTTTCATCAAAACAGGAACCAGGTTACGAAATTGTCGCAACAGTTGATCAAAAGTTTAACGTCGCCAGAAAAGCAAACGAGTCTGAAAACATATCAGCTGAAGGTAATATGTTCCAAATTCCACTTAACATTCCTATGCTTATGTAATACTTTGGTCATTCTGAGAAGAAATGTAATACATTTACACAATGACATAACGTATCTATATAAGTTCAACATATCAAGCGTCCAACAACGGGGAGGAGGGTGGGTAAATCTCTTCCATCCAATTTCTTGATGTGAACTGCAGCCCATGTGGAATAGGAAAGGAAAGATGGCACGCTTCACCACTGATAAATACCGAAATTTCCAATCACGTGACTATACTTAAATTAACTTGCGCGCGCAAATTACTTATTTCGCATAATTAATTTCAACTATAAATTATTCCGGGAAGCAATAAATGTAATATATCTTGATTTAACTGAAATATTGTATTCAGCATGAGCTCCTACTATATGAGTAAATTGTTAAAGACGTCCGAATTTATCAATATGATAAATTCACGGCACATTTTGAAATTATCAATAGTATAAATCATAAAACCACAAGCATTAGAGAAGAGGTTTTGTTATAAATGTAATGGCACTAAAAGGGAGGGGGTTAGGGTTTGGGTTAGGTGCTGCGAATTTATCATATCGACAAATTCGGACGTGTTTAACAATCTACTCATATAGTAAATTCAAAGGTGGAGCTCATGCTGAACTATTCAACTTAGAACAGATAAAGCTGTCCAGTATCCAAACTTCTTCCTGTAACTTACTTTTGTGCCAGTTCTCGACTTTCTTTTGTGCCACTTATTGCATGACAGTTGTTGAGAGTTTGAGAAGCGAGATTTTGCCCCCGGTCAAACGAGAACCAGATTTGCATGAGAATTGACGAGGGTTGTGAGTAGCGAAAACTCTCATCAAAATTTCAACCAGTTCAACGAACTCTCGCTCGCTTTGACCGCCAGCTCTCATCCACTCCCATCAACTAGTCTCATCGACTTTGGTTCAAATTTTTTATCAGAATTTTTGCTCGTTTGACCGTTAATATCCAGTCAAGTCTCATCAACTCTCATGCAACTCTTGTTCTCGTTTGACCGGGACATGAGAGTTGAGAAAACTCTTCTCAGGCTCATGCAAAATTTTGCTTGTCAACTCTCATGCATGGTGATAGTGGTAAATTGAAAGAATATAAGAAACTTAAAGTAAATGTGGGTATTGAAAAATACCTTTTAGAAATTAAATATTTTAAGTACCGTCGAGCAGTTACAAGATTACGAGTTTCAGCGCACAGATTACCAGTAGAAATTGGCCGATATAAAAAAATTGCCTACTGTGACAGAAAATGTAAACTTTGTGATCAGGGTGAAGTTGGAAATGAACAACATTACCTAATGTCATGTGGTAACACAGTGTTTACATTTTTGCGACAGAATTTTATTAATTCTGTTTATAAAATTAACCAATCATTTAAATATTTTGATACACAAAGTTTGTTCCATTATATACTAAGTATGAAAGATAGAAATATTTTGAAATTATCTTCAAAATATTGCTACGATATACTAAGAACTTTTGACATATTGAATGAGTTAGCCTGAATAAATTATTTGTAAGTTTATAATATACTGTAATGTCTTTTTTATATTTTATTTTTTGTAACTAATGTATATGCAGGTATTCAATGTACCAATATTGGTATTTGTTTGAATAAAGTTTCTTCTTCTTCTGCAAACTCTCGCTTCTCAACTCTCATGCAAACTTTTGCTCTCCTTTGATCGCGGCTTTGTCCTATCTTCTTTTGTTTTTAAAGGCATAACATCAGATTACGAAGAGGTTGGAGGGCCATCAAGTGCAGGCAAGACTTCTGGGTATGAAACACCAGGCCAAAACAAAATGTATGAAGAGCCCAAAAAATCGCCAGAAAATCCAGGTTATACTGAGCTTGATAAGAATAGACTCCAAGGCAGAAATAAAACGGATGATGGTACTTACCAGAAACTTGTAAAGCGAGACTCGGATTATGTTATACCAGCTCACGAGAGAGGAGAGTCGTACGGAGACATCGAAATGGAAAGAAACCTGCCAGACTACGAGGAACTGGATCTAAGCAAACGCGAAGCTGATGATTACCAAAAGTTGGTGAAAACCTGAACTTGTTGAAGGTCGCGCGCATGGTGTGCACCACTGCGTCTTAAAGGAAAGTTGACAAAAAATAAAAATTAAGTTTGTCTCATTTGAAAGAACTTTTGAAACGATATAATTACGAAGACCCTTTACAATTCTTTTCTATCTTGTTTGGTTTTGAAAATAATATTCAAACTATTACAGCAAAATACAGGGCAAAATTTTCATTCTGATGCTCATTTTCTGAGTCGCCTTTTTCATACAAATTACACTTGCGCATGAAATTTGCCCAAATTCAGTGTTTTCTTCATTTTTAGGCAAGTTTTCAGTCTATAAGCAAAAACTAGAAAGAAAAGCATATCTTCTGACCTAATAATATTTTGTTGACACAACCTGTATATATGAAAAACAAGCAATTTTAGCAAATTACCCCACACGTATGTAATATACGTATATGCATACCTGTATATACGAAACTCATGCAGTATGCTCATAAAGGATGCTCATGAGCAGATTACAGGATTTTGGTACATATATGGGCGTGAACAAGAGTTGCATGAGAGTTAACTGGATAATACCGCGCACGTAATAAAGCCCCAGTGAGACGTGATTAAGAGTTGAAGAGAGTTACAACTCTCGCTTGCGTTTGACCGCCACTAACTCACGTGATCTCATCGATCCACTCTCATACACTCTCATCAACTTTGTGCTGGTTCAAAATTTAATGAGAGTTGAAGAGAGTTTTCGCTGACTCTTATGCAACTCTTGTTCTCGTTTGACCGGGACATGAGAGTTTAGAACACTCTCATGCAAATTCTCGCTTCTCAACTCTCATTTTCGTTTGACCCGCCGTTAATGCGACGTCAATGCAAATTTCAAGCTGTTCTTAAAGACTTAATGTTTTCCCAATTCTATTGAAGTTAAAACATAGTTGAAACACTCATCAAACCATTATTTTGTTAATCTATGTGACTGTCAACTCAACTCTCATCCTCAGAAAAAGTTTTGAAAATAAACTAATGTAGTGAAACTTTTGATAACGTTTTCAATTTCCTTTCTCGGGAGAAATCAAGCTCAACAGCAGAGGCGGTTCGCAGAAACTCTACCGTCAAAATACCTCGAAAAACGAAAGCAAATATAGCATAGGCACGTGTTGGCTGTGCAACTCGTTAGAATACTCAGTATAACTCATTATCTATGCATGTTAGTCAACATTTATTTATACATGTGTGTATTGTATTTTTGCCCAACTAACAACGGCTCAATAGCAATGTTTTAGGAAAGTTACCTATCAGTGACTCAAACAATAGGGTAAATTGGAAATTGCTATTCGTGGTTTGGTAAAAATACAATACACACGTGACGGTGAAGGACCAGATATATGAGTAAACGTTGACTTACACAGATAATGAGTTATATTGTCATTCTAACGAGTTTCCCAGCCATATCCCTTTCGATTGACCATGGCATGAATTAGTCGCCAACTCAACATACTTCGTACTTTTCAGAAGCACCGTTGTCAGATTATTTGAATTGGCTGCTGTTTTGTGTGTTCCGATGGTAGTTCTGTTGATGTTTACCATCTTTCAGTAGACATGCAGGTAATTTAAGATGTGTACAGATGAGCTATTCTACACGCGTAATAAAGAACAATCTGTTCATGGTTGATATCGACAGGCTTGAAAAGGTTGTGCTGCACCCTAAGAACAAGTTGTCAAAAATGTTGTCACAACATTGTCATGACTGAACATGCTGTAACAACATTGTTCACAACTTGTTCTGCATGAAGGTGCAGCACAATCTTGTTCATGCCTGTCGATATCAACCGGGAACAGATTGTTCGTTTTTACGTGTGTATAGAAGATCAATTAAACTTTTTGTCATCTTATATACTGGAATGTCATATAATTTTCTTATAATTGTTTACAAAGCGTTTTGCAAGTGGAGATTGTCTTGTGCCAAGATTAAAGTTTATAGGCATTCTCTGAAGTCTACATATACAGGAAGTTGCAGTCAATATTTGACAAATATACACAGCCACAGGAAATTTTTAGTTTTGGACTATTTTGCTCCAGGAAGAAAATCTTTTTTAGGCGTGTATTACGTGGAAAATGAAGGCAGAACATATTGGAGAATGACTGCATTGTATAGCAGTAATTTACAGTACTATAGATTGTATTCTTGTATGTGAAGCTTGCTCTCAGACTCGGTATAGGCCTACTTGATTTGAAATAAATGCATATTAATTTGATCAAAAAGAGAATTTGTAAACCCTGGTTTCCATATAATATTTACTAATGGCTTTATAATATGTAAACGTATTGAATTTCTTTTTATTACAGAATACAAAAAGCAAAAAAAGGAAGATATTTAGAATAAGCTTTATTTTGGTCTGCCTTCTTGGCTTGGCCCCTTCGTTCACACAAGGTATGGTAGTTTGCATAAGGTTATACAAATAAATCCCTGGTCTATGAATTTTCATTATTCGCTGGTCAAACGAGAAACAGAGTTGCATGACAGTTGATAGTTACCGCACGTGTGGCCATTTTCCTTTTTACAGTGCTTTTGTGAGCATGCATTTTGTTCCAAAGCCACTGAGAGCTCAGCCGAGACCGGTCTGAAATGTATTTGTGTTTACATACATCCCGCTCCAAATTCATCCTGATCTGAAGATAGTCTGTTCGGTCCATGAAAACATGTAATATAAATAATATCGTC